ATATATATATATATATATATATATATATATATAATATGTACAGTAAGTAATTTTTAAGTTATCACTATTTTTCAAAAATTGATTGTAATTTGTTGTTTTGATTTCCTATAGAGTAGGACGATTAGTTTTCTAGATGAGAACTACGGAAGATCAAAATTTTGTGTATATTTGCAACCAGTTCAGCAGAAGGAGAGAGAAAAAGAAAAGGAGATCAAAAACAAATTTTTTCTTTCACCAATGCTGACTCAGCAAAAATGACTAAACCGCAGTCTTTTTTGTACGAACGTAAACAATTTCGTTTGTGTTAAGTGACAGTGTTAATTGTATCTTTTTTCCTCGTCATTATTGTTGCCATATTATTAAACGAAGAATATAAGATTTCGAATATATCTATAAAAGGGCTACAATAATAATCATTTATGTTGATCTCAGTGTAGATTATAGATCTGTGTCAATCATTGTCTTTGATGCTTTCTGGAAAATTCTGTATAGCTGTGTTTTTCTGCATGTGTGCATCCGTATCGCCTTTGTTTTTTTCGTTGCAAATTGTTTAATGGTCCTAACCTGTTAGTTTGGAAAGTAAAAAAAAATTTACTACTGAATTTTAGATGACGGTGCAAATAGTTTTGATTTGGTTTACAGTTGGTGATGATTTTGTTGTAGAAATCCGTTTTTCTATCTTGTTCCTTTCTTGTTTTCTTTCCAAATTTTCACAAATGAATAATTACGGCTGTCACTGTTTTTTTTTTCTTGCGGTAGGGAAATTTTTTTTTGTTAAAAAATTCACACAGTTGAAATTTCCTTGTATTTTTTAATTTATCACTTCGTGATCAACGCATCATTATTACGTTTAGTTTTTTTGTGTTCAGATTAACGAAGGACCAAAAAAAAAGAATTTTTGATACCACCAACGTTCGTTTCACATGGTTTTCTAAACTCATTGTTTCAGACTATTGTTTCTATCACCTGATGTATCTATTGCTTGTTGTGAGTTGTGATTTTATTAATTGGAATAAGCAGGTGGTAATTCTGTGATTCTTTTCGTGTTTTGGCGCCGCTGATGATTTTTTATGTTTAGTCGTTTTGTTACTACTCTCGCATTGTTTTAGACTGTCTGATGTGTGCCTGACGAACGAATGAGCTCAGTAAATCTTGACGATGATAATGTTCATGTAAGGGAGTTGAATAAGGTAAGTGATTTTAAGTTTGACTGGAAGTCTGCAGCTATTACTTTTAATGTTACTGATTGAATATTCAGCTGTTTCTTGGTTGTGCCCGAAAAGGCGAAACTTTTTTGGATGCGGCAGGTTTGCGAACGCTTTGTGAGAAACTTAACTTGATCTCATATACAGAGCATATTACTGAACGGGTTCTTGATGGGTTTCGTATTGTTGAATTTCCAGTACGTTTTTTATTATATATTACTACTCTTTGTACATTTTTTGTCTCGTTTATCATGGTTAGATTTTTAAATAAATTTATTGGAAGAATACTAAAATTAAAGTCATGAGGTCTTTAGCTGTAAAGAAGTAGCTTTGCCAATGTAAAACGATGAAATGTGTTTTTGTGTGATTTATACCACATTTACTAGGTCATTTAGATTGATTCTTATCATAGTTTATTGTTTAATGATCACAATGTAATAAAATTCTGTTTAAATGCAAAAAGATTTGCGTTTAGCGGTTCATGCAAATGACAAGAAAAAATTTTTTTAATGAATATCATTAATGTAGTTGTTTAAGGTAATTGAGATCTGTTATGTTAATATACTCGGATTTATTTGGGACATTTCAGGAGTTCAAAGAACGATTTGTGCAGTTGTTGCCGGAAATTATAGATGTAAGTACAAATACTGACAGTATTGAAAAAGCGGCTACAAGTAATCTAGCGAAAATCAATGTCAATTCAAAAAATAGGCTCTCTCGTCGGGAAATTCATCTTTTATGTGAAATT